AACTTAATCTTTGATTTTGAAAATTAAATATTTAGTATTTACTGTCACAAATTTTATTTTGTTCTAAAATGCATTCTTATTTGGCTTTTTTATATCTGTCAAAATTTTGTTTGCTCAAACGAAAATTGTATATCGTTATGATATTTATTGATGAAAAATTCGAGACTTCATAAAATATATTGAAAGTTTATTATTTGCAACTAGCAATAGTATCAGGGATTAAATGAGTTTCTGCGTGCGTGAAGTTAGTATCCCAACAATAAAATTCCATGTTCTAAACAATTTTTAATTTAAATTTAAAAAATGAGATGCTAACTTATAAAAATTCATGAATTAAAAATTATTATTAAGTAGAACTGTTGTTATAAACCATAGAGAACTCTTCGTCTCTTTAAAACAAAGCGAAAACTGTAATCAGAACTATGGAATTTTATTGTTGGGGTGCTGACTTCACACTCGCTGAATTTCTTAAACGTTGGCATAAGCGAAAATGCACACAATTTCCATGCCGTTGCGTCATTAAGGCTAATTTTGGCTAATTTACGCGATTCTCGAAAGAGAAAGGAACAGAAGACGCGGTGTCAAGAAATTTACGTGGCTGTTAAACGAAAGCGAATCCGGTGTATCCGCGTGAAGCGCGACACGAACTCGCCGCATGATGCGAATTCACGCCTTTAGAAACACGACGCGTCACCCGCCGCGCGATGACCTTGACGTGACCTTCCTTTGAATGGAATGACCCTAACAACCTCGCCGAGGTCTCGCGAGGGCGAGGGTGAGCGTCCTTTGCCCACGGTGGAAACCACACTATCCCGAAGAATGCGTTTACATTACACCGGACGGTGTACAGGCACTAAAGCCGGATTTAATAAGCGGTTTCGTCTTTCGAACGCGCGACGCGACTGTTGATTGGAGGTCTAATTAGTGTAATTGGCATCGGATCGATCAGTGGCTAACATGTCACGGCGAGACGTTTCGAGGTTTCGTCGCCATCGGCGGTATCGATCGAAGTTGACGGCATCGATGAACACCGGATATTTCCTGTGCATTTTCTATTCTTTTTATATTCTAAATTCCTCACCATTAATTATCTCACTAGTTTCAACCGTTCTCGAATAAGCGCATCTTCGATTTTCTTGGAAATCTGCACTTATCGGCACTGAAAACTATTTTACTTGAAATTCAAATCGCTCCGGGATAATAAAATTTCCATAAGAAAATTTCCTCCCGCCCTTTTTGCTTTAAATACGGATTGTGTTATACACGTACGCACGACTAATTTAGTTCACGAAGAACTAATTTCGCTACGCTTCGCGAAAGAATTTAACGCTCTTTAAAGGATCGCCGTTTTCTATTTTTCCGAGAAAATAGGGCCGTTTAGGTAAAAAGGGCCATTTCACCGAGCGTATTAGAATCACGCGAGGCTCTGGAATCGCCCGAGGCTGCGCCGTGCGCAACGGAAGTGGCGATATCATTAGTCGTACCTGGAACCGAACTACGGGACAGAAGTACGGAAGCGTTCTGTGTGCGTGACGCGCACACAGGATCGCATAAACAACGTCCCAGTGAAAAGCCAAATGTTAGCGTATCCTCGTAATTGCTCGTAACTGTCGACACTCCGGGCCGTGGACTCGCTTACGCAAGAAGCATAATCTTGTGAGTGAAAATCATAATCGCGATAAATTAAGGAATTACGTAAATTTGAGAACAACACGGGCGAGACAACGATACACTGGTTTCATACTCTTTGGCTTCCCACGAAAACAATGCGCGATGTTTATCTTTGTAAAGTTAGCAGAATTTCGATAATTAATAGAATTCTCTGTTGGCTCGCGGCAGGCGATGGTTCTATCAGTTATATGAAAACGGAATGGTGGTTTCAGAGTGGTACCGATACTGTTGTTTACAACGCAACAACGCATCGGTATTATTTATTTCTACGCTCGTTAGCGAGTACTCGTCATTATTCCACGATAGTTTATCGAGATCACATTGCGTAGGCATGACACGAAAGCGAGTCCGGTTATAAATATTAATTAATTCATTGCGTACAATGCACAATTATATGGCTCATTTTTAATGAGAGTTCGTTACGAATACCTTATCAATCACGAAATAAACACAAACTAGGAAAACGAGATTGATAATAATCATTAATTTAATGATCATTTATGGACACGTTACATTTGTACAAAATTATATATTCTAATTAAATTTGTCAAAAATAACAAACTTAATGACGCGCAATTAAATCAAGCAGAGAGAATAAAAATAAAATATTACAAAAATTATCAAAAGCTATGTTTTTAATATAATAAATTGCATTAATTAATTCATAATTGAAACACCAACATATTTTTGATAAATTTTGTTCTCAATCAATTTAATAGTGACACACAAACTTCACATATTAATTAATGATATAATTTTGTTTTTAATGAGTTATATGTATCTACGTGAATATTTCGTGTGTATCTTGTATGTACAAGAATTTCTTATATTCTATTTTAATATAATTTATTATTATTATTTTATGATATTATTTTTTTAAATATTTATTTTATATGTAGCCACGTTATGTGTTTGCGATTTCGGTTGTGTCCTTCACGGTTATCATTTTACTGTCTTGAGAATCGGCCAACAGGACGAAATGTTCGCGAATTCCGAAATGCCACTCCGAACAGGATTATCCTTCGGGAGAGATGATCTTCCCGAGATCTCACCGGGTGTTCAACTTCGCTGAAGCGCGTGAGAAAGAGATTATTGCTGCAGCAAAGACATCCGTTATGGTCACGCGCACCACGCCCGGTGCAACCGAGGCCGTCGAGTGTGTTACTACATACTATTTCGCCGGTTGGTTAGGTACACGCGTGGAATACATTAAGTATAGATACGCACACGTATGTATGCGCACATATTGGTGTAGGTCTTCTTTTACACTAGCGGTGTTTGACAGCCGTAGAAAACACACTGACCCCGGCGCACTTGCGCGACGGGCCTTTTCTCTCTCGCGCGTTCCCTCCCTCTCTCTGTCTCTCTCTCTCTCTCTCTCTCTCTCTCTCTCTCTCTCTCTCTCTCTTCAGGGTTGAATACGCACACATAATGAGCAGCGTGCGAATGTTATTACTCGCTGCAACGCGATCATGTGTGAATTTTAAAACACGTTGCGCGCACGGCGTTGCCTGAGCGGCTTAATTACACAAACTTGCGGGTTGCTTGTCCTACTTCAGCAAAGTTACGAGGTCAATGGAGAATAAGGTCGATATTTTAAATAATCAATTCTCTGTTTGGCAAAGCAGAAAATGCTAACTTGCTATTGTAATAAAGAATTACATATTAAGAAATGTATTACTATAATAAGAAGGAAAAATACAGTATATGATGAATCAACTTTAAGTAGAGCGAATATTTGGAAACTTTTTAATGTGATTTTTTTCTGCATTATTTATAAAATTAAACGATCGGCGTAGGAAAAATTTTAACGTGTACACATGCGAAATATGCATTTGTACGTATGTAAAGAAGCCGTAATGTACGTATGTCCGAGCAGCTTGGCGTTCTCCTGAAACCCACGGGCCATTCGAATGCAAAGGCCTTCGTAAAGCCCATGATGCATTGTCGGCCGATAGACGTTACTCCGGAGAGCCCGGCGGAGGAAACGGCTTTACGATTCTCGGCGAGGAAACGAGCCCCCGCCAATAGCCCTCGTCCCGAGACGCACCGATCGATTTGCGTATGTGTGTGTATGTGTGTGTAAGTGCGTGTTAACGCGTGTCTCTTACGTGGGATTTTGCGCTGCTCGGTGGGACGAACTTTTGGTCAAAAGTCATTTCTCGAAAAACGATGGTGGACTGGAACGTTTGCCTAACGATCCGGCGTGTCCAGTACGGAGACCATCAAAACTCACTCGACGGATCGTGCTCGCGTGATCGCACAGATTTTATCCCGCCCGTTGTATTTCCGCGGAGCCTGTTATTACGAAGCGAAGGAATAGAAAAATTATATACAATTATATACTGCTTTTTGAAGTAACAATCTTCCGTTCGGTAATAATCTGTTACTTGCTATTAATATTCGTGAAAATTTTCAACATATTTTTCTATGTAGATTACAAGTATTTCTTGTCTTGCTGTGTTTAAACGTATTGGAAAAAAAAATGTTAATCGTAAGACCATTGGGGCGAGGCGTAACGGACGCCGCGGCCTTCCAGCGTAATCTAAGTTGCTCCGAGTAACCGGTGCCGTTTCGCAACCTCCTCGGAATCAAAGATCGCGCCGACTTTCCATTGTGCGCCCCTCAAGACCGCATTGCATTGCCGTTGATCATTTCTCACATCCACATTGCGAAATATGTGGAGTGAATTTGTTAATTAGAATGCAATATTTTGCTTTATCGCCTACTATGCTCCGGCGGTATTCTTTACTTAAACTTTAAAGGAAGAAATTGCTGTAAGGAAAATAAATGTCCGGCGATAAAATGTCGTAATTAAGTTAGATTAAAATGTCGACATTGCGCGTAATTCCCTTACATGTTGTTACGTAATTTCCTTATTTGGCGAAGTATAAAATAAAAAAACCGGCGTCCGCGCAAGATCTCTCGAAAAGGTGAATGAATAGGCGTAATAAGCCTTAAATCTTGCCACATTGTTGCGAGAAGGCAGAGTTTCATAATCCAAGCGCCAAGATCGTGATCTTGCACACCCCGGTGTTTATTCGACTTTCCATTTCGATACGCGTATACACATAATGCATATATCGGGCCGATTACTCGTCGCATTTAAGAAGCGCCGCGATTATGCATGCGCTCAGATATTTATGATCGTGCGGGCCGCGGCTTTACGGAATTTTTCGGTCGACATTAATCATGCGGAAGGAGCCAGCGGCAAAAAAAGAAAAGAAAAATAAAACGGAGAAAAAGAATATAATTTATCGAGTCGTAAATCTTGCCGGCACGTCGATGCGGGTAGGACGTTGGACAGTCAAAGAAAACAGGGTTCGAAGTATAAGTTGAATAATCGATTATATTTGGTAAAACATTTACAAGATAATAAGATTTTTTTTCATTTAACGTATGTTACATTTACAGGCAAGGCATCCTCAAGAACCGTACCAACTCTACAATAATCGTAGTAATGTGTAATGTTACTTATAAGAAAGTATGTACCATCAAATTATCGTTATCGTTACTATTTAATATTAATATTCTTTTACGGTATATTACTACTCTTAATATTTTCTTTAGGAACAAATACATATTTTTTTTTTCTTTAATCAATATACATCGATTCGCGACTATATATGAACAGTAGATCTGCACTTCCGCGTAGGCGAATTAAGGTACACGACGGATACGTTTTTATCGAACGTAGGAAAAGAAAGAAGAACAGAGTGGTGTCGCACGTTTCTTCGGTCTCCATAAATTTCTCCTCTATCTCGTCTCCTTCGTCTTTCCCTTTTCCTTTTACTCCATGTTTCGAATGTATGATAGACTCAGGTTTTTCACTTGAGGTACGAAAAAGGCAACAATTACACTAGTTTACAAGAAATTTTTGTATTATTTTGAAGTAAAATGTTTCTCATAATCTTTTGGATGCTGAAAACGATGTCGCGCAAGCCAAATTTTCGTCAGCTCGATAGATTTCCAAAACAATTTGGCTTGCGACATCGTTTTTAGTATCCAAAAAACTATGAGAAACACCTTGCTCGGTTCAAAATAATTTTTGATTGTAAACTAGTGTTATCGATGACAGGATCAATTCGATTCTTATTTGGATTCGATTCTTACTTGGTCGAAAATAATATTTACAATCAATTCTTTTCAATTAGTTCTCGAATATATGTCACGAATCCACAAATCCTAGATTCGTCGAGGTATATTATATCATATTTATTAGCAAAACGCGCAGTGAACATTATTGGTCATCGGATTCGAGGGTGAGGGAGAAACATGTGGTACGCAAAACGGAGCTCGGCCCTCGCGATGTGTGGCTACAAAGATCTGAGGGTGAATTACGTTATAAATGTACGCTAGTGATGCTAAGTGGTAAGATATGAACTTGTCAGTAACTTGCTAATATCCACGAAGAAGTTGTGATGCCTGCTTGAAACCAGAGGGGATCAGAGCGGAGATAGGTGAGCGGGGGAGGGGGGGAGATGGCTGAGCTGACTATTTATGTCGTGCATGACAGAAGCATGATCTCGTGACGACGATTGACAAATACACGGTAGAACAACGGTATCTATAGACTATTGCACTGTGTTCGATTAAAGAGACGAGTCTCCGTTTACTCTTACGGGCGAGAAAATTATATTCGCGAGGAGGGCGGCGGCGTGTGTACCATCTTCGCAAAGCATTTGGAGTTTCAAATGATTGAGGTGATAAGAATTAATTTCCAATTGACGAAACGTTTTATTCGATACTTCTCTCTCTCTCTCTCTCTCTTTCTCTCTCTCTCACTAAATTGCCGCGAACATTATTGTGATTTCGATCGACAACGACGGGCGCGCGTTTTCACCGCGCGGCAATTTGCTCGCAAACGGAAAAGGAAAATGGAAGTACGACTATTGTCGGGTCAATAAAAGTCGTGATTTCCATAAAATCTTCGATGAGCGCATGTTCAATAATCGCACATACACAAGCACACATATTCTCTCGCTCTCTCTTTCTCTCATTCTCTCTTCCTTCATATACTTTATTTCTTTAATAAAATTCTTTCTCTAAGTTTTTCTTGTCCATCCTTTTCCTTGTCTACTTTTCTGTTTGCTCTTTTCTCACATTGGAATGTTCTTCGGTGACAGTACTCGATAATCGTTCCCATAAAGATATTTCGCATTTACATATATATTTATATATATATTCTTTGTATCTAATTACTTAAGCAAATTAATTTTTCGCGATTTTTATATGCACTTTGTTTATAATGTATATAAACTATGTACAAAATAACGGCAAAAGAATTAACGAGCGGAATTTTCTTTCCGTGGAAAAATGACGTTGGAGACAGAATAAACTATTTGCATTATCTCGCGTACTACCTTCTCGCAATTCTTCAATTCGCGAACAATAATTAATGAAAATGATATATGAATCGTGATGGTAATAACAATAGATGATAATGATAATAATAAAAAAAAATAATTATATTATTATATAGCCTAGCGATAATAATGTATTAATGGTAATAAAAGAAAAAAAAGTAATGAATAAACATAATTCGAAACAGCGTGTATAGTTATCACGTAATCCACATAGTGGTGTTTAATAACTACTTTCCGTCTGATTAGTCGATGGGGAAAATGATTTCGCGCTTCCGCAAAAAAAAGCGTCGCCTGAAAGGAATAACGGAAAGAAGGAGAAGAACGCGACCCTTACGTACAACTATACATTATCCATAATAATTAGTGTTCTTTGGTAACACAATGACGCGTCCGGAGACCACGAATACGGTTGTAACGTATTGTCCGATCGTGACAAGATGGTCCCGAAATTATACTCTCGATTACTAGAAGAGCTCCTCCGCTTTTCAGAGTGACACTAACTTATCGACGCTATTGTACAGTTATCGTTAATTACTTAACTAATTAACGATATCCATCTTGTCTTACGACCTACGCACTATATACATGTGTATCCAATGCACAGAAGATGCATTATCTTTCTATATACACATATGACTGGTCGTAAAATCTTGATCCGTGATCCACCATTTACTCCAAAAATGGCGAAAAATCAATAATTTTGATAATCTCTCCAAAATTTAAATTTTTATCACGTTGTTTCTCGTATATCGAATCGCTTCTCCGAATGTGTATGTATGCACGCCACTCTCGAAGTAAATGGCGCGATTCCGCGCGCGTAAAATTAATCGAGCTTTTTCACGAGAGTAACTATACTCGTCATATATCATTTACGTCATATGTACATAACGACAACAAATAGATTAGCGAAATTACCGTCTCGTAAGAACGCACGCGACAGCTTTTCGTCGGCCGTCATCAAAACGATTAAGAATATAATTGCAGAGTAGATTTATGGAGCTCTCACGAACGGTTCTTTTTTTTTTCGAAGCTTACGAATCTGTATAGGAAAAAAAATGCAGGCGCGTCTCCCGGCCATAAAAGAAGAAGTTTCGGAACGTTTTCGTCCGTCTGTTAGAAAATACTAACACACACGCTTCCGAATGACCTGTCGTCTGATGGAAACTTCTTCCCTCTTTCGACTTTTTTTCTTACATTGCTTACGCACGCATCCTAGCTCGTCGCGCATTACCCTTTAAGCTTATCAGTAATTAAGTAAATATCTTTTTCTATGTACACCCTGTTCGAATAGTTTTCTTAAACCTAGAATTAGAAATATCGCGACGACGCGTATAATGAATTATTATGTATATCGTGGAACTCTTCTGTTTTTTTTTTGTTTTTTTTTTGGCGCTTTCAACGTTTAACAACGAATTCTCATAAAAGGTCGGACTATTCCCAGTATAAATTTTTCGTCGTGATTATAGCCTGTCGACTCTTGTCGAAAACACGCATCATACTAGTCCGAATTAATTTCTTGAATTATTCTCTCAAACTTGTTTCGTCAATTTTAAATTACGACATTTAAATCTATAAACCTCTATTATGTCACCAATTCGGGAAAACGCAGATTTCCAGTCTCGTCTTGTTGAATTGAATTGCGTTTTTATTTCGCCCAAGTGGACCGTTTTGCCGCGAAGGATAAGTCTCCGTGTGGTAGAGCCGCGAATTGCCGGCAGAGTAGCGGTACAAACGGCCTTGAAGAAACGAATCTACGCTGATACCCGACGTTACTCTCGATGCTCACACAGGCGCGCTGGGAGTGTGTACGTTGTGTGTGTGTGTGTGTGTGTGTCTATCAATACTCGCGTCGCTTTCCCGCCAATCGTTGTGACTACGAGCCAAGCTGCCGCACGCTGGCCAAATAAACGTAGCTCTATGGCTGGTGGAGCAACAGTTGCTCCAGCTCATCGGCGGATCTGAGCAGAAAGGCGGCTGATTCTCGATATCCACCTATCAGTTGCTTCACCGCGGTCAATTCCACCGAGTTTAGTTTATGGCTCAGCAGAGCGGGCTTTGGTGGGTTCTTCATGCTAAGATCCGTCGGTCCTGCAAAGGATAACATTAATTAAAAATCAGTTGCGCCAGAGAATTTTGAGGTATTCAAGCAAGTTTTATCAAGTGCATTATGAAACATTATAATGTTACAAAATAAAGTTTCATGCAAGCTGCATCGCAAATTATCAAAGAATCATTCAAATCGAAGCATTACTGCTCTTAGAAAGAAAAATAGAGCGCTGCAAATAATCCTTAAAGTTAATCTGTATAATCATTAAATTGCCAATTAGACGCGAATAAAATATCCGAAACTGAAATATAAAAAAATAACAATTTTGATCAAAACTTTTACGAGCTTTGACATTAAATACCTTTGTCGTTCTGATTACGATCAAAAGAGCGTAAGTAGTAAGAGAACAATTGGTACCAATAATCAGCTGTCGCATTATTACTGATTATTGATGTATCACCAGTATAAGCAGTATTACTTTGTGTACTTTGTATATTTTCTGTACCATTGCTTAGTAGACTCGACGTAAAACTTTGAGTCGGATATAGCCCGGCCGAGAGGGTCGGCGGTAGGGGCGTTGTGGGCCCGGCGCGTTGGAACGCTTGGCTGAAGTTGGGTCTGTACATAGTCGGTGCACCGCCACTGGCGACACCATTCACCGTCGAACTGACTATCGTCGATTGGCTGAAAAAAAAGAAAGAGAAGAGACGCAATGAGAATGAGATGCGCGTTAGCGATTCGATAAAGGTCGCGCCGATTAGCGGCTTCACGTTCCGCTTTAAGGACGCGCGCGTAAACCCGTCCGACGAGAGAGGCGTCCCCGGTGAATTTTTGTGCCATGACCTATGACCGAAGGCGAAGCCTTATCTAGAACTCGGTCGATTCCACGACGGGGATCTTAGCGCCGATAAGTAATAATCAGTTACGGTAATTCAGGCAGAAAGTAAGTTAATCGTAATCACGCCAGGCAATGTGAATATACATAATGGTAGATTTCTTTTGCAAAATAAGCAGAGTTAATGATAAATCGATACCGCCGGAAGTTTCGATGCAAAGAAAAAAAATATTTTTTCCTTTCGATCTCTTTTTGTATCAAATCGATTCGACCCCGAGTAGGCGACTAATTAAGAAACGGATAAGAGCCGCGACTTCTGTTACGTCGTCAATTCGAGAAAACACGGATTTCATCGCCTTCATCGTAAACTAGTTCGTCATACTGACCTCAAGAGACTCTTGTTGTCTGTTGTGAGCAGCTTTGACGCGGATGCGATCGACAGCGGCGTGGAGGAAATGGTGTTGTTCGGTAAGTTCGCCAAACTGGTCAACGGTGCCAGGGACGTTAACGATGCCGGTGGGGTATCCTCCCTCTTACACGGAAGTGATTTAACCGGTGTGCTCGAGAAGTGCTCCAAACTTGATCGAACGTCCGTTTGCTGCAATCGACATTATTATAAGGTAAATTGTTATACCAATCATATGTATATTTTGTTTTTCTTAATGTTTAATTTACATGCGTTGTGTATTTAATTGAAACATGTCAGAGGATATTTTTTTATGAGCGTATACGTTTTATTTTAAAGACGCAATTGTTGCAGTTTCAACAATCGTAATATAATCATTTATTAACTGAACGCCAATGATTATTGAGACGCCTCGTTTGCGCGGAATCTCCTTTTCACGAAAAGTGATTATTTTTTGTACATTTTTTAAGCATTTTTTAAGTTAAATTCTTCCTAATATCGATCGAGAATAAATTTAGTATAATTGTAAGCTAAATATAGTGTTAGGTCACATTCCAGAATTTTTTAAAATTGTTGGATATTGCGATTCCGCATATTTTCTTTCGGATATATTTAAATCTACTTAATTTCGGTTACATGTCTACTTAATATTTTCTCCTATAAAATCGCACGTTCTTAAGCTACGATACAATCGAAGAATAAAATTTGAAAACTTGCAAGTCTATCTATAGAATATCAAACAAATAACTGTTACTTTAATGTTCCTACAATTTACGCGAATTATTGAAGAGCGATGGTAAAATAACTACGCGGCCGGTCTGCTAATTGTACCTGTTGAATTTGATCGTGATCGCGCACCAGCTTGTGAACTACCGGTAGATTCTTTTTCCTCATGGCTGGACACGATCGGGAATAACCGATCTTTCGCAAGCACGTGACTAATCAGCAAACAACACGGGGCACACTATCGATCACCTTTACGAATTATCGATCATCAAGCCGCGAGGATCGTCCCGACGCGAGTTAATCGAGCCTCGATCGTACCGTCTAATCCGCGATCTCGTTATCAACGCGATCCCGATCATCGGTCGCACGATCGTATTCACCGCTATGAGCAACCGAGCGGAACAAAGCGCGCCGGGAGTTTCTTCACTTCGATTTCCTCTTCTGCTTCTTCTCTCAATCTTCTTCCACTTTTGCGTCCGCGCCCCACCCTGCCTACCAGCGCGACGTATCGATACGATAACAATAACGTCCGCGTTTACTCGAGCGAGGTTCAGAGAAGCGAGGACGTCGTTCCCGGCCGGCAGCGAGGGGAAACGGTGGAGGGGTGGAGCGAACGAGGAGGATGAGGAAAAAGTGGGTTGACACGAGGGAGGAACGTCAGGAACAAGAAGAGAGAACGTCCGGATGCGTCCGGGAACGAAACGACGAGGCGTGAGTAAGCTCACGGGAGAGGAAATTAATTCGTGGAAAGAGAGGAAGAAGAGGAGGAGGAGGGGGGGAGCAGGCATCAGAAAAGAGAAAGAAGAAGAGGACCACGGTGAGAGCGTCGAGAGGTGGTGATGTGCGTTTCCACCACAGAAACGGATGACTTGCCCGGCGAAAGAGATCGAATGAGACGCGTACAGAGGGTTGGCGAAGAGTAATAGTAGTAGTAGCAGCAGGCGGTGAAGAGGGAGGAGGAGAAGGAGGAGGATGCGAAGAGAAGAGCCGACAGATCGTGAGGAGCGCGGGAAGAGGGCTCGGGCAACGACGAGAGCACGGAGGAATGAAATCTTCGAGCGGCGTAGAACGGATGTAGGGAGGTGTTTTTATGAAAGGCCAGCAGTGTGCGTTGACGTCAATTATATAGGTGGCCACGGAGAGCAGATAGCCGCTTCTCGTCCGATGCGCACGAACCCCGGCATACGTACATGAGAAAGAGAGAGAAAGAGAAAGAGAGAGAGAGGTCTTCTCCTTAATGGGTTAGGTTTAGGTCGCCGAAGAGGTTATCGGGTCTCACTCTGTGTTTCTCCGTCTCCTTCTCGGGCAGGGATTTTCAAAGTAGATAAGTCGGACGGGAGGAGGGGAGGGAGGGACCGCGAGCGTTTCAGTTTCTCGTTTGCGTGCGAGACATGGTGAGGTAGAAAGAGTGAGAGAGAGAAAGAGGGGGGGGGGAGGAAGGGAGGGAGCGCGACGGAAAGCGGCGGCGTGTTCGCCAACTGTGAAACCCAGTGAAGGAACCAGCTGGGAGAGAGGAGAGGAAAAGGGGAGGTGGCGGAGAGGAGAAGGAGGATTAGGTGCGCCAAGCAGCGCGGAATTGGATGGCTCGGGCTACCGTCTCGTGCACCTACACGTCTCGTACCGCGCGAAATACCGAGGCGATCGGTTTACCGTTTACTCGCTTTTTCGCGCTATCTTTATTAAGGTTAACGAACTCCGGCATGCACACTGGCTATTATATAGGTGACGGACGTCAAGTTTAATCGTTGAGAAACGTTGTAGGGGATCGTTTCCAATATCACATCGAATCGCGTCCAATCGCTCTCACCCCGAGATTAGACGCCGTGACGTCAACACGAGAGCCATTTACATATTCGCGAGATTAACGCTGATTTCTGCTTTTTCCGGCTTGGCATTGGGTGAAATTTTTAAGAATCAATTCCGATTCTCGTCGATGGAATCTCTCGCGACGGTGATTTTTCGGCGCCGAGGCACTTCGGGATACGAGAGACCGTCCGCTTCACGCAACTGATGTAACGTACCGTAAAATTTACGGATACGCGAGACTAATCGCACAACATCGGCGCGTTCTCTTCTCGGTGCGCGTGAAAGCGCGCGCATCAGTCGCGACGGCATAAAAGTCCATGGTCTTTTTTTCCTTCCTCTTCCTCTCCCGCGCGCCACACTCTTTTTACCGCGCTCCGCCACCAACCACTTCCAAGAGTATATTTTCAGTGTCTTCCGTTCCGCACGCGCGCGAGGCGTTTTCACGAGGTCGAAGGCTGCTTATGCCGCCGGCCCTCCGTGGTGCGCGTTCTGTGTGCGCGAGGTTGCATCAGAGTGGGAGAGGTGCGCGACCCGCGGGTTATCACTGGCCTCTCTCGCGGGTACCTATATCACAATCCTAGCTCTCCCGTCCACGTATATGTATCTCGCTGCCGTTGGCGTTGCGCAGGAGACAGCTCGTCGAATTTTCACGATAATGTAGTGCGAGACCATGACGTTCGCTCGCAAATCGGAAATCTCATTCGTTCTCCTTCCGTTCACACTTCCTTTTCTATCTTTAAAATCATCTTTTCGTTTCCTGTGCGACACATTTATCGCCTTATTCTAAAATTTCTGTTCGTTTCATATTTTCAAATTATTTAATTTTTTTATACCCATTGGCAAAATTAGCAGCCCTTAGAATAGATAATACTAAGTATATTAAATAAATGACAAGAAATGAAGGTAAAATGTTCATTTCAATAATAAATGAAAATGTGAAGAAATAAAATTGAAATGCATAAAATTGATAGTATGGAATGTGTAAATGCGTTAAGGGACAATTAGAAGCGTAGTCCCTTTTATACGAAGATGAGGGCCGATCGAAATACCAGAAAATTATTTATCGGTATTCGTATGTTGTTTGTGTTTGTACACGCGTTTGCCGCGTGATACGCATCCATCATCGCCACATGTTTGTGGATAAAACAGCGACACCAAGAACAAATAATGAAGATGATGCTTTTTTATGAGTTAGAATTTTATTAACTCGTTCATTTAACTATTTAGTTATCTTATGTTATCCGCTGTCCTTTTTTGTAAAAAGTATTTGTATGGCCTCCAATTCGTTTTATTTTGATTTCGACACCATGGCAAGTATTTTATCTAGTTTTTCTTCTAATTCTACTCTCGCGCCTATTTCTATTTACTGCCTTAAGTTATCGCTTCACATATTTTAGTTTATGATTCATAAGCGTATCGCGCAAACATCCGCGAGTTGTCATCTAAAAATTGCCTGATTAATGAATCCGGTCGTCGACGAGAGAGCGCTCGAAGGTTATGCACGTGTGTAGCATCTAACGCTCGGGCATGCCGAATGATATTTAAAAAAAAAACGTCCGTGAAGACACGTGTGCGAGCTTCATCGCGGTAGTAGTAATAAGGAGTTTTAAAACGATCGACGATACATTTCGATGAGACATGTCGCGTCGTCGTTGTTCGCGTGCCAGAGACCGAGAAGTTTAAATTGCAACACTTACTAGCCAAAATGATGGTGTAGGACAGTTTCGTCGGCGTAACTTTGCTCGATAAAGTCTCTCTACGTGTGTCCTTGCTCTTCTTCGCATGTAATTAATACTCACCGTTGCGGCAGGAAGAGTTGGCATGGGCTGCGACACAGGTTCCATACCGATTCTCATACGTTTCGCATTTTCGCTCTCGTTTTCGCAAGCAGTTGCCAGAATCTGCTCGGCCTGCACGGAGGTCAAGTGCGCCGGTGTGGGTCTGGCCTGAAAAAAGAAATGCCTACGTCACATCCGCCGATTCGTCCGCCGCGTACCGAACTTGACTCACGCCACGAGAATGCACGAGCTTTCATGTACAAAGTTCCAAGCGGATAGTTCGAGACTTTAATCGAGGAAGTAGCAGATCCGAGAATCTCGAAAAAGACGCGACTTTAAAATTCACGTAATTGCGATTTTCAACATGAAAATATGTCAAGAGTTGAACGACTTGGAAATTAATTGACTGCTATCTGGAACGCTGATTGATAGAAAACTTACGGGGTCCCATGAACCGTCCCTGCCGCGCTTGTTTCTTCGACAGCTCTTCAGGTACGTTCGAATCCTTTTCCTGGCCCTCTCGGCGAACTCAGGAAATTGTCTTGTGCAACTATCGATGATCGCCTGTATCTTTTCCTTCGGCTGCTTTGAGATCGGCACGATGCGATCCAGGTTCTCGTCGACAAACAGCCTCACGAACATCTGCCGCAGGACAACGGCCACGTTAGTGAAGTGAATTAAGCAGGGAGTTGGTACGCGAGTCTCGCTAACCGCTCAAGGAATTAAGAATTTAGTGGCGGTGGGGGCGCAACACCGGGACTCTATTAAACTAATTGTAATTAATTAAGGAGCTAGCTGCCGCAACAGCGGCAGCCGCCGCGAAACTACGACCGCTTGGCTTTCACGCGCGGGGAAACCGGGCACAAAAAGAGATATATGAGAAACGGGAAATGAGGGGAGGGAGGGAGAAAAAACTCAGAGAGAAACGGCATGCCTGTTTCCCTATGACTCGGCCTCTCTGGCGCAACCGTTCATAAAACTTTACGATAATTAGGGTTTTTCGGGAAGGTCCAACGCGCGCCGCCAATATGCTGACGGCCTTAACTTCTCCGCCCGAGCTCCGTTACCCGTTTTCTTCTCCCCTTTAACGGCCCTTTCCCCTGTCCGTGGCGTGAACGACGCTTTTCTTGTAACGACAGTTGCATAAAGCAATCAGTTGGACCGCGATTGCGCAGCTCGTAGTTCGATTACCGTTATACATTTTGATCCATCGAGTTCGTGTAGGGTAATTATCGCTAATTGTCGTTTAATTATTTTTTAGATTTTCGATTCAACACATTTCACCTAAGTATACACCTAAAGATTGAAAAAACAAATTTTATAGTCACGTAATTGAATCACGTATATGCTTACGTTGAACGCCTTGAGACGTTCCGGATCGTGATGTCTTGGATCCAGTCCCTCGTCCGCGTCTATATCATCGTCATCCTCGTCTTCCTTATTGCCACTACTGCTGGTCTCATCGTGAACGCTTCCCGTCCCCTCGCCGCCGGGCGGACTGGACTCACGATCGCGATCCGACCGCGAGGGCGTTGCCGACGATGCTGGTGGCGGTGTCTTCTTGAAAGTCAAGTTGGTGTAAGTCGCCCACAAGGAAGCCATGTCTTCACTACTCGCTATGGCGCTCAGATTCGGAATGGTTCCCGGCGGCATGTCCACCAATTCCGAAGAGCCGTTTCGGGAATCTGCGGAGGAAGCGAGCATTTCGTAATGGTTTTAGGTTTAGCACATACTTCTCGAAGTCGGAAGTCTAAATTCTTGTAATTCTCAATCAACGAGGCACGAATTGGTATAGGTATAATTAACGTTTTAATAACGGTAATGGTAATAATTAATTATTATTATTTAAATCTCATTTATTGAAATGGACATTATTAGTATTATTAGCATCAATAATGATCGTAATATGAACAATGGCATTTTTAATAATTACTACTAATTAATAACGCAAATTTGGTGATAGAAACACTTTGCATTCGCGATCGGTAATTATCTGGTAAAAGGGGAACCTTCCATCGACAGGAAAATAATAACGTTCTCGTTGAATGCCCGTCGTGCCGACGATGATTAGATCGCCACCTCGCGCGCTGTTTCGATTTATGAATAGAGAACGTTGCGGTTGGAACAAAAGGAGGGAATACTTTTTTCCCTTCCCACGCCATGGCCAGGCGAGGAGCCGGTCATGTACGGCCGACTAGACACACGACTAGTAGCGAGCGAGAGAGAGAGAGAGGCATGTGGGTGGTATTTATCCCGTGAATATAATAACGATAAACGCGGTGTACGTTCGGCTCGCGTGACGACACTGATTAGGGATGATCGACCAACAGAGGGGTAGCATTTCCTAAACGACTCCCTAGCCTTATACCCGCGAGCGTGTTATTGCCGATATCAACTGTTGAATTTCGGTACGTGAACTCGATCGTGAATCCGATAACGGTCACGTTCGTCGCTCGCGAAAAATCGCTGGGCTTCCTTTAGGCGATTTTTCGGTCTGTAACGATATTACAGATTGGATACCTGATAAATAATGATTACATAATAAAGTCGGCGAGAAAATATAATATTGAGATAAATATAAAATTGTTGACAGATAGCCAGAATCAGGTAATTAAATTAAATTAAATTTAACTTGACGCTCTATCTTCGTTAAGAAATCCCACTTGGCTACTGTACTTCACTTTTTGGATCGTAGCCTCAATTAAGATATAAGTACAGCAGTATTAGTGCGATGCATGTATATCTCTCGTGAACATGATTAAAGAGTATATAACCTTGACTTCGAACTTTTTCTGATCGGTACGTGTATGATATTCCGTTACTCCAACTGGATTACAATCATTTTCAGAATTAATTTCACCGTATTAAAATCCTTGCGAAAGTCTTCGGAAATAAAATTGTTGTCGACGTTTCTCGTGTTGGCAAATCTTCGAGGCAGGCAAGATTGCGTCGGGGACCCTCTCTCTGGAGGGCAGAATGAAACTTAGCATGTCAATTGTGTCGACGACACTAAGATTGGACCATCATTCCGGCCGGCTGTTGTATAGACCGTGTTTCTTCTCTACAATAATAACGGCGACCCGTTCTCAAAACCCGTAATAAGCCTCGATAGCGTGTGCAAGGTGTTAAAAGGCGGCGCGGTCTTCTACCGTCACAATCCCAGGAGAGAGAGAACGTACGGTAAAGGTGCTTTCACGAGGAGGATGTCGATGGGGACAGGTACGGAGTCGTGGCCGCCGAGAGACTCCACGTACGAAGAAGTGTATGGATTATCGGCAGGGAGTGCCGCAGGGGGATCGTAAAGAGGCTAGCGGAGCCTCGCGGACCTCTCTTCCACCTGGGAACCTCTCCTTGGTTCCCGATTATAAAAAAAGGGACAGGTTTGCGGCTGCCGTTTCGTACAATCACGCGTCAACGACACAGGAATGTCCGGGCCGTATAAAGCCATCCGGGCAAGTTCGCCGTTAATTTTCTACACGCTACTCGAATTACCCTTCTCATAAATATGCAAGGCCCCATGTATAGCATATTTCGATTTTTATAATAAATATAAAATGTGTATTAAAAAGGAAATTTCAATTATGTTTTAAACGATCGATAGAGGAAGATGATGACATGTTTTGTAAAGATGATCTAAATGTTATTTCTATATGGCTCATTATTAATGTCTTGATCGAAAATCCGATACATTTAGAAAAATAATTACAAAATAAGAAATGTCTCGGAACGATTGATGAGATACGGTTATGAAATGTGTTTGTTTTCCGATGATGCGCGACCAGTTTCGACCGGGCGCGCGCATTGCACGCTCTCCAGATCTCTCTACTTCGCCTTCGCTGTGTGTGCGCGAAGTAATCTGCATTCTGGAATCGAATTCTTCCGAGCGTAGTTTCCAAGACGCCACTCCGCCGTCGAGGTGAACGCGGTTGCAAGGCAACGTCCTGGAACATTTGCATCGTCGAGGGGGCAACTTTCCGCCGGGCGCTTCAACTTCCCCCGCGCGCGGAAGACGCAAAAGTCTATCTGGGCGCAGCTATCTCGGACGCTCGAACGGGCGCTCGATCCTGATTCCACGAGTTGTTCAACGATCGCAACGCATCTTTCTAGGAGGATTCCGGTAGAACCAGTAACTGAACGCACGAGCGGGCGACCTAGGAAACTGGACCCTCGTCCAGGAGGCGTGCTGGCGCGGAGGCACCGTACGTTTCTTTCCTCTTTTCTCTGCCTCTCCCTCTCTCCCTCCTTTCCCCGTCTTTCTCTTACCGTCTCTCTCGCGGTCCCACCGGCCCTGGAGGTTGCTGCACTTCGATTCTCACACGCACACGCGCGCGTGCGGTACGTGTGGTACGCGCGGCGGTTATGGAAAAAAATTACGCGTGCGTACATACGTATACATGTACGTATATGTGAGTATGTGTACGTGCGCAACACTCTCTAGGAGGGTACGGCATCGCCACGCAGCGAGAGAGGGTTCTCGGCCTGCGGCGAGCGTATGCCGGGTACCGTCGCGCCGGCAAGAGTAGTTGGAGAAGGTAGGGAACGCAGCACGCACATAAGCGAAGCTGGACGCACGACTAGACTGCCCGCACGGGCTAGAAAGCCGGTTACCAATCCCAATCCCACACCATCCAGCACACCGTTTCTGAGCTCGCCTCTTGGCCGCTGGCTTGAACCTGAAATGAGTCGACGGCGGCGGCGGCGGCGACGGCGTCGGCCGGCGCCCCACCCGGCAGTTCGTCTTCCTCCCTGGTTCATTCCCTCGACCTCGCGTTCCCGCAAAGGGAAACTAATACCCCGGCCCCTACGACCACACCAGGCACTTCCTCTTTTTCTAGGCGGCTCGCTGTGTGCGTGTACCGCCGCCTGTGTGTGCCTCGAGCGCGCCTAGCGCGCTACAAAATCCGCAGACAAGCCACGTACGCCCACGGTACTTCGGGCTAGGTATGAAACTGTCTGCCGCTCGGGATGGTAACGTGCAATCGCGAGGCTCTGGACGAAGACGTATTATCTTGTCCCTCATAAATGTCACTGACCATAGTAGAACGTTGCGCGTGATGGCATGTGCGTGCCCGCGTCACGTGAAAGAGAATTCGGAAGTTTCTTAGTTTTAAGACGATTATGCTTGACAATTAAATGATGCATTCTTCGAGGTATTTTTAATCATTTCGCTTATTTTTTTATTATCGATTTAATTTCTAATAATGATACAATAATATTTTAGACTGTCATTTTTATTTAAAATTAATTCGTTAGTCTATTCGAAATTTTTTAGATTCTTTCGAGTTTTCATCGATTCTCACGGTCTTGAATTGAGTTTCATTGAGGTTCATTTTTTTTATTAATTTACTTTTCTGTATAAGGATAAATAGAGATAATTAATTGATCATTCACGACCGTTTTTAAATGCAAAATTTAAATGCGACTAATGGTTTAAAGTTGAACAATGTTGAAACAGAATGAATTTTATTATTATCGAAAAGGCACTCTTTAAGAATAAATGCTTAAGACAAATGTTATGTATGATTGTCCTGATATATGGCTCAGATCCGGAAGCAGTTACACCTAAGACATTGTGATTTTGTGATGATCGCAAGCATAATCGCCGCGTATGCGTCCGTTGGGGAAAGTTGCGTCCGTTGTAAATTATAAATATTACGCCGACTCTATCGCGGAGTGCATTAAGAGATGAGAAACTAAGATTTTCTCTCTCTCTCTCTCTCTCTCTCTCTCTCTCGCAGTCATCCGTCGTGTCTCAAGATATCCAAGTAAGACAAGTAACTTGGATATCTTGAGTAACTTTATCGAGCAATCGATATGCAGCACCAGATCCAGAGATGTTTCGGATAAGTACTTACTGCTGTTTGTCAATACCTCGATAAAAATAATTTTCTTTATATATTTTGATATATTAAAAATTAAAACTAAGGAAAGGGCGATATCTAATTTATATGATATAGTGGATGTATATAAAAGTATATTTTGAATGTTTATTCGATCGAAATGGGGCGTACGCAAATACGCAGTATTACGAACGATCGCGAATCCTTGACTGAGAATACGAATCCCACGGGACAACGAGAAATCAGGACTGAATCGCGGACTCGCAACTCGCGACAAACCGACCGGCAAACGATTCCTGTCGCTTTTCCCGCTCGTGGTGGCGCGGCAGAAAAAGCAGCTCCATCGAGAAATCGATTTGCGAAACGCATGTCTACGAAGTGGACGCGAACGCCGCGCCGGTGAGAGAAGTCCTCCGCGCGAGATGTGGAATCTGCGCTGGTCATCACGTGGGAGGGAGGGAGGGATGGCGCGACGAGAGAGAAGAGTGGTCTATCCGTTGTGCAGTGAATGTATACGTATGCGCATATGTATATACAATATATATATATATGTATATACATTTACTCGTCTCTTCGGCCGATGGCTGGTTCATTACGCAATGACTACGTCCGAGATATAGAGGCCCGCTTCGAAACCAGTTTCAAATAGCAGGGAGGATAGGTGGAAGAGACGTACCGGGGCGGAGGGGCATGGTGAATTATCCTTCCGCAACCTAACTGAACAACAGGCGGCGAGTCCCGAGAGCATGCAGTACCGCGCGGAAATGCTCGGCGCCTTGAAGATCGCTGCACGATTATCGCGACTATTAAGGACGCGCGTGACAATTAACACGCGTATTTCTTTCGCTGCCGAGAAAACACGTATTAACACGATTTAATTAACAAAAAAAAAAGTGTTGAGTTGGTGGAATAATTGATCAATTCTTGGTTTTTGCAATTTGCGAAACATTAATTTTGACATTTTATGATAGAAAGCATTTAATCTCTTTGTTCAAAATGCGAATCTATTGAATTTATAAAATTTTAATTAAAACTGAATTTTATTAAAAGATGACCGACTAACTTCATAAAATTTTATATGGTCTGTGATTATTAGAAATACGCGCAATACATCCGTACTCGTTTAATATTTTTACATAATGTAACTTTACTGGAAATCATAACATTTCTTGCTCCTTGCACTGCAAAAAATAGATAGCTTGGACAAGCATTAACAACGCGGTATAGAGGCTATAATTCAAAATTCATTTTAAGAGACCCACTTGCGATATCGTAGTAGTGCGACTAATGGCCTTTTCGCGCGACCACTCTGCGATTTTCGATATTCAACTTTCAATGTCCATCGGCCGACACAATTACCGTATTACATTCGTCGCTCCCATTCGCATGACTCGGATCTATATTCAACCAGGTCGCTCGAGCGTCGAGGTATCAAAGTACGCGACGTCTTGGGCGCATGCCTTCTCTCCTTCTCTAGCTAATCGGAAATGCAACCGGTATTTTAATGGTGTAAAAGTATCGACACACTTAACGAGTTGTAACAAAACGAAAAGGCAGGTAGTAAAAAGAAAGCTTAAGTACCAAAAATACAAGAGATCGAATGATCGAGCTAATGAACGATCGAGTTTTAACGCACACTTTTTTGCCTGAGCGCAGGATTACGGTGCAACAGCGCGCAAAAGAATGCGAGTTTCCGTGGCGATTACGTAAGGATTAATGAACGAGGATGACGTACAACAATGCACACCGCGTTCGCATCGCGAACTCCGCGCGAGAGAGAAAGAGGCATTGATACTCGGAAGGTATATACTCGGTTGCATTCCTCATCTCTCGCGTGCGGCTTTTTCCGTCCGTACTGATTCATCGCCGGCGGGGAAAAGCAAGCACGAGGATTCACGGGCGTGTCTCACCCCCGCGCGATTCACCCTGACGCGGATTTCGCCGCGGAACGCGTGGGTGTGGAACGGGAGGGAGAGAGACGACCGCGCGCACGATCGCGAATACATACGCGCGGGCAAATGAGAAGCGCGTCGAATTTCTCTTTCTACGCTACGGGATACGTCCTAGGTCGGCGATCCATTAGTCACGTCGCGCGCGACGACAAAACTTTACGAGCTAAATGGCTGGTACACCTTGGCCCCGCGAAACCTGCAATTCACTCCGCCGAGTCGAGCGGAGCCGCGCCGCGCGTCACACACATACGCACGAGAAGGACGCAAAACTTGAGCATTAAAGCCTTCGGCCGCGCTTACGCCAGGCGGAGCAAGGTTCTTTTCATAAGTGAGATTTCGTCAGTCAGGGCGACATCAATGGGACGTTGGCGTACGTAACTTCGTCGAGTCCTTTCGAAGAAGAAAGAAAGAAAGAAAGACGTCTAGACATCTTTCGTCCCCGTAATGGATTCCGTTAAACGTCTCGCCTGTCGATTTCACGAGGCAATTTTTTTTTCTTTTTTCGTATACCGTGACGTTTGCAATCACATACGCAAGGTGTGGTTGAAATTGCACGTAATGCCACCGACCTCGATTGATTCTCGTAGTCGTTGAAAATAGTTAACGACATTAAATTCTAAGAGGTGTCGCAGTAAAAACTTGTAAAAACTAAAATAGAAGGGAAAAAAGATGATCTCGAGAAATTTGTTTTGAATATTGTAGAAAAAAGTATTACTAAAAAAAAAAAAATTATCTTGTAGAGTCTTCAAGATCATTTGTGTTCCAGAGCCAAGAATTTTTTTTTCTTTCAATGTACGTTTTGCTCGCTAAAAATCATTAGACTAATCTGCAAAAAGAAACATTGAACACGCTATTCGCTTCGTTCTTAATGTTTCGCGCGCAATTCGTGAATATGTTCGTATAGTTTAGGACACACCGCTTGAGAACGACACGCCGCATGTGCCGCTCGATGAAATAAGGTGTTACCTGTGAGTGTAGAGTTGTTGATGGTGTTGTTTGCCGTAGAAATGGCTGATTGGCTGGTGACAGGTGTGCCAATGGTGGTAGCCGTGGTGGTCGATGAGTTATTTGGCGAGAGAGCCGCGTTGGCAGCCTGGACCTGGGCCTGCGCCTGTGCTTGCGCCTGGATATTATAATTCCACGCGAGCAGCATCAGCTTCAGCTTATCCGGGTCTTTCATGAGCGCGCCTGCCGAAATGAAAAGTGCCAATTGACTTCAAAACAAGTTGAGGAAAACGACATTATGCGAATGGATGAATGGCGCGCCGCGCGTGCACGTTGCGAGCCTCGCGGACATTCTTTCTCGCGAACGGGAGTCCTTGCTCATATGAGAGCGGACGTCATGACGTCCGAACCGCGCAATCTTATGTATCGCGAACAAATCGCGACATTCGTCATCCACCTCCGGTGGCCGGCCCTCGTACCGCGCCGAAGGCTATTATCACTTATCAGCTACCTGGAGCGGAGCTCGCGAGACGAGGAGCTGCGGGCGAAGCGAATCGCGGCCGAATAAATTAAGCTTGCAAAACGACAGCGTCGTCGACTCGATTTAATAACGCAACAGGTTTAATTACCCGAAACTGATAAATCGGCCGGCGCGGCGCGCGGCGGGGCCACATAGCTCGACCGTCACAGCTGGCGGTGGACCGTGCGCCGTTTACGATTATTAATCGATCGGGTAATTTACACGGGCTCCGACAAAAACTAACCAACCCCGGCGGCCACGGTGGATTAAGCCCCGGCGAGTAAGTGAGTCTACGATTAACTCTCCCCGCCCGAAGTATGCGCCATTGATTTATCCTCGGACGCGATCGAGTCGGCCGAGAAGTTATCGGGATTGTATTTATTGATCAGCGTCGCGGTAGAATTCGACGGCGCGATTAACGACGTCCTGTCGACATGACTCGCTCCGTGAGATATCCAACAAGGGGCTACCGAAGGGAGCCGGCGAGATCTTACAAGCTATCGGTCTCTTAGCGTCGCACGCCGTGACTCGTCGTCTCGATGCACTGACTGTACTGATGCCCGAGAGCGATGACGTACGTCTTTTCGCGTTCTCCGCTGTCGAAGTTCGCTTGCGCGGACTGCACCGCCGCGTCGATGAGTAAACAATGCGATTCACGCAACGCAAACGAAAAATAAGGCGCGATAGCGATAGTTCCCGAAATCGTGGTCAATACGATGAAGGTCGCGCCGCATGCACATTGGTGAACGACGAGCGATGAGTAATGCGTGACACGAATATGTTTTCCGACAATATCGACATTGATCTTTGAAATATCTCAATTCCGATAAATCTGAAACTGATTTCTCTAAGGCCAATTTATTACACAAATATAACAAACGAAAATTTATTTTTGGTGCGTGTGGACAAGTGGTCAATTGAAAAGATTAATAAACAAATTCAGCTAATTCGCAACTCGTAGCTCATTGCTTATCGCTTACCAGATACGGTCTCACGCGTGACTCTCGAGTGTTATACGAGATAGCGTGGAGGAGGGCAATTAAAACACACGAGTCTCAGAAGGATAGTTATTTAACGAGAGAATCAAAGTGCAGTGTGCTAAACGCGTTTTATTTTGCGTAAATGAAAAAGTAAAGAAGATTACAAGGTATCGACCCGAAATGTACAATATATGAGTAGCACGAAAAGATATTTCTTTACGCAAATTTTTTATCGTTACAAAAATGCCAACAAAAATTTTAAATGCCAAACTCGATGTTACTAATTTTGCAATCTTTTCTACGACGACAGTTTATCGTTGGCTCGTATAAGTAAAGACTTTTGACCTGTTTCGTGAGCGGCGCGCTTTAACTAGATGATTTCCAAATCGCTGTCAAGGTGGCTCGTCGTCATTCAGCGAAAGGAGAATTTGCTCACAGGCAAAACTTATTGAACGTGCGGAGTCTGTATACACATCGCTCATTTGCTACAACAATGATACAACTCGGGAAACACAAAGTTTTCAAAAAAAAAAAAAAAAATAACTTTAAATGTTTTGAATCATAAAAATTTTGTAATATTAACTTTAAAATAAAATTTTGGTGTTTGATTATGGAGAAATAAAAGTATGTTCTTTTTTTCTTTATGTTCTTGTTCTTTTTTTTTGCAAGCAACTAAAAAATTACGATTTTTCAATTATGTCGTTGTTGTGTAGCAAATGAGCGATATGTGTGTCATATACGTATATTTCCTCTACAAGCTCCTCTCGCGAAATCACTGATCCCGTCTTTTCTTTTTTTATCTGACCGCACACCACGCATGTAACGCTATGCACGTCCGTTCCTCTCCGCACGCCGAAGACGAGCCGTTCCTGTACATACATGTCGTGAAACCGTAATCGAATGCACGGTGCCGAGTAACGCGCGTTCGATACTGCTAATTCGTTATATCGATCCGTGCCACGCGAGCTGCCGTGAACCGTACATCGGAATCGAACAGCCGATATTAGCCCTTAGATTATTATACCTTGATTTATTACCGTCTGAAATCCTCACAAGGATTTACCGGAAAACGTTCGGAGAATATCCGATTCACTAAGTGTGCCATTTTGTCCGCAGAAAAATTTAATCTTTTCATTTAACCTATCTTAAATAATTCATTTTCATTTTAGTAATTTATCCATTTTAATAATTTATTAATTCATATCGTCCAATAACAATTTATCATTTTAAATGTTATCTACTTTACGATGCATCTATATTTTTTTACGATGTATACATATATCTAAGTACGAGAAAATCAAATAAAAACACCAATTTCGGCTTTCTTTAAATTTTACAAGACATATCAACATCCAATTTCGAAATTTGTCTATTTAGGAATTATCATTAGAATACGTTGCGGAAAGTGGAAACCCGATCTGTCAATGGCTATTTCTGCTTATTATAATATTGCACGGCGGCGGCAGCAGCGACGAGCGATGGTCGAAGTGTACGAACGAGCTTACTATTAATTCGCGCAAATTCCGCGGGAATGACTGAAATAACGATGTTCCGCGTAGTTCCCGCCGGCGCACAACCGCATGTAATCGGACCGGAGAGTTCAAAGGGACAATCCGCAGATTTTCTAGCGTATCGCGCGGACGCGCGCGGTTCCGTTTGTTCGTCCGAGCGGCGGAATTAGCGGTGACACACGGCGGACGGGCGCTTCGGACCGCGCGATGACGAGAGCAGAGATTTATTAGCCGGCGAACACAAGAGCCCCGGCGGAGGGGGGGGGGAGGAAAGAGAGGGGGGAGAGAGACAGAGAGAGAGGGAAAGAGAAAGGGTGAGGCGGAGAACCGGCCGCGCGCCGGCAGCGGCGGCCGGAGTGACGTTTAAATCATTCAGGACACGGTTCAATAATGTAAAAACGTGCGACGCTGCCCGTAGAATTCGGGTCAGATTCCCGAAACGGTTTGCGACCTGACCCCGCGACGACTGAAGGTTTACGCGCGAGAAAGACGATGGATGAGGGAATTCTTCGATACGAGAGACGCACTCGAAACTCGTATCGTGTCGATGAGCGATAAAAACTTCGCTCACGCACGCGCACGCACGCACGCACGCGGCAGATTTACGCCTCTGCACCTTGTTTCGTAAGGACTTATACGATCTCGTAATCCTTAGCCGGGTGAAGGTTCGGAGGAGGGGAGGGGGAAGGGGGACCACCTCCGACACCGACTGTAAGAAGCTCGGCAAGGCTCTACGCTACGGAATAGATATAGATAATGAAAGGTTTTGCTCACTCGGGTAGTGATCGTCCTCGGATATGTCGGTGGGCTCCGGGGTCGAGATGTTCTCCTGCAACAGATAGAAAGCCACCGTTAGGTACTGAAGCGTTTTCCACTCGAGTCGTGTGCTATATAGCTAGTCGAACGGTTTCGCCCTGGGCTGCGCGCGGTACTGAAGGCGAACGGGACGAAACTCTCTCGCGACGCGTTTAAAAGTTTCGCGAAACTCATTTTCCGCAACTGCCCGTTATGATAATACCGCGCGAACGCACAGCCGCGCGGCGTAACCGCATCGTTAGGGGCCAGATGCTTCGCGGCCTTATTTAGTCTCGCTATACAGCCTCTCAATGTCATTTTTCTAAAAGTCTTCTTTAAATATTAACGTAAGGAATGTTTGAACAAATTCGTTCTTGATTGGACCAAAATTTTTTTATGTAGCAGGTGCAGTACATGTGACCATGGAAAATCCGTATTTATTTTTACCATGTAGATTACTATAATTACTTTTTCTTAAAAAAAGCTGATCAAAAAAAGTTCTATTATTTATCTATTATTTAATCATCACATAATAAATTAAGACAAAGTATTTTACAATGTATATAGTATAGTATTTTAATTGAATTCATTAATTTCATTAATGTGTTCAGTCAATGGCTTTTTGCACATTCTCATTATTAATAATATTCCTTAATTATTATTTATTTATACATCACGTCTTGTTCGATCTTACATAAAAATTCAGTAGAATTTGTACGTTCTTACTACATCACGTCACGGCATAAGACGTGCGGTCAAGAAGAAGCTATCGAAGGCTGTTCGCGTTACCGTACGCCCACAGGAAGACCGTGGACTTTATTGTCCCAGATCAAGAGCCGCCGGCGACTCGCGATTCGTCGAAACGCAAATTGCTTACGCCTCGGCGTTGCGCCGCATTGCGAAGGTGACGGCTCGTCGAGAATCTCGCGAGATCAGTACAACGCGAACGAGCACCGCCTCTCCCAACCCTTTCACGATCAACGCGGTCAGTCTGTCTCCCGGCTTAAGTACCATGTGCCATGCTCCCGCGTGTATAAAAGATCTTGTCTCTAAACATAGCCTGGCGAAATAAGATCGTCGACCGAGTGAGAAATGATTATGCATATAGTAACGCAATTAGCTTCACGTTCATTAGAAAATTAATTATCGCGCATGTTAAAAAAACATGCTCTGACTTAATCACGTATAAATGTAATAAGTACGCATAGATAATAATCATTATAACGGGTCGTTATAACGGAGAATTATATCTGGAGAAATTATATCATCTTTTCCGTAAACTTCTACTTTCGCTGCAGCGATGCTGTGATAACGCATAAATTTGTTTAAATATATTTCTGATGGTGTTTTCCAAAATGTAACCGTTACAATGCTGCTGACACACAAGCGGTTTTCTACGCGGTTTCGTTCTAAAAAAAAAGTCATCCTCTTTTTACGCCACTGGCCGAGATCGAGTGGTCAGGGCCGTTTTGAGGGAATAAGGCCGAGGCTCGTCGGACAGAGGATCAACCTCTATATGGTCGGGTCGTTTTTCATCGAAAAGAGCAGCGCGAAGCGTTCTCTCCGCGCTCTCCGTGATATGGCACATCGCCTCACGCGCGCCACGCTCTAATCGATCCACCGGTCGCGGCGAGTCGTAGCGATCTTCCACGGCTCTAGCACGGCGCGATTCTATCTCACTTTGATTGATTTTATCCCGACGAAATTAACGGGTTTTCCTCCGTTGAAACGAACGGCCGGTCGGCCGGCTTGCCGGCAGTTTCGCAAGGCATGCGCTACGTTAGCCTGTGCCGATGCCTGGGCCGACTGGTGTTCGCTTGTGTGCTGCTTGCAGCAGCGGGCGCAGCGGCGGCGCAGTCTCTCCTATCTGTGTCAGGTCTCGTGTTGCAACTCCAGAAGGTCGACCGGTATACAACGCGGAGAGCACGGCCAATTGATACCGGCCACAACTTTGTCCAGCGGGCTTGTAGGACATAGGCGGCGTGCGAGAGCGCGTACGAGCCTGCATATATACGTGTCGGTGTGCGCGGCGCCGCAAAAACTTCTGATGATGTAACCGAGAAATTCCGACGAGCCGGCGTCGCTCGCCGCACGGAACGTGGAAATCGCGAGAGGCGGACGCGGCGTGGAGATCCAATCACAACGAAATGTCGCGTCGCGCCGCGCTTTTTTTTTTAAATGAATGGTCACCTTCTGCGTGTGCGTGTGCGTGCTAACGGCGGAGGGGACGAGAGATGCGCTTGCAAAGGATATTCTTGGTATTCTACGATAAGAAAATGTATACTTTACGGCACATCGACGATTTTACAGTTACGTTAGAGCGGCTATTGAATGCGGCAACAAGCAAAACAAGCTTGCATGGATATCCCGAAATATTGCGATTTTTTATTCGCTTCGCTTTACTTACATTAATATGATTTCGTTTGCATATTAAAAATTCATTAAACTTAAAATTGCTAATTATGCAATTATAATTTGTAAATTAGCGATTACTCGCTTACTATTTAAGCAACTTTTTAATTTCGACATTTTGATAAACTCAATCTTGATAATATGACTATTTTGATATATTTGTGTTATGTCAATATTTATTTCCACACTTTGCTTTTAGTACTAGTCATGTTTTTTCGGGCGAAACGAATTGATGGACGGCGCATTCAGATTCATCGATTATATTAGAAACCGAGCGCAGAATCTGTTTAATAATCGGTGGAATTTATTGGCTGGGCGCGTCTTACTCCGTTTCTCTCTCTTTCTTTCACTCTTCCCTCCCTGCCTCTCTCCCTCTCTCCCGCTAGCTACACCGTTGATTTCCAGTTGCGCACTCGCGGAAGGTTATTTTAAGAATCTTTCATTAAGAATTTAATATAGCATGATTTTCACGGATCCGGTCGCCGAAGTATCTATAGGTATCTATCGATTATAATGAGTCCCCCTTTGTAATCCGAACCGGATGAGAGGGAGATAAAGGTCCAGATGGGAGAGTACAGATAAAAGTATATAAACCCGAGATAAAATAGAAATGTAGATGGAAAATAAACTTCTATCGCAATTTGATCCCAGCGGGGAAACTCGGCGATAGAGATTCCGGTGATCTAAGGCCCCGCCTTTGCGATTTCAAGAATCACCTTGCGATCAACCGTGCCGCGCACTCGTCCCGGAGGTCTCGATCTCACCGCCGCACCGTCGATCTCGCTCTCGGCCTGGCGCACCGCGTCAAGGTGTTTGCCATTAAAGATAATCGCGGCGGGTTACCTTCTGGGAAGGAGTCGAACGACGACGAGTGGCTCAAGCTCCGCCGCGCTGCGGCGGTATTCTAGTAATTGATACCATCGATACGATCGTTGCGAGTTATCCTACGCGTCAGGATATCTGCGAATTGTTGCGTTTAATTTACAACAAGGACACGGCAAGGAGACGACGGGACGATGTAGGAAGTCGAGTGGAATTCGCATTACACGCGGAACTCACGTTGTTCGATAAAACGGTACTCGGATGTAATAGTTGGAGTGTTACATATCGCGCACACTTTTAAAGCGCTTTTTATATCTTTTACGATCTCTAAAATAGTTTACAAAGTGTACAATAAATTGAAATCTGCATAGAATTAAAATAGAAATTTAGTATCGTTCAAAAAAAAAAGTGATGATTCATACACGGAAAGAACGATTTTGTTGAAAGATCTAAAAATTTTGCTAAAAACAGATCTGAAAATAATTTTTTATTAAATCATCAAAATAATTTGTTGGAATGTTAAAACTGATAAGCATTGCTATAAAACGTTTTGACGTGCTATAAAAAATTTTGATGTTTTAGCATTTATTTTGACTTTCGCACAAAATTATTTTGATTATTGAACAAAAATTATTTTCAGATCTGGATTTAGCAAAAGTGTTCTTTCCGTGTAAGAAAGACGATAGATAGAAATATGCGTCGAAATCTGAACGCATCGGTATCGTACTGATTTCATTCGCCGCGCCCAAGGACTCTGATGATGTCGCAGGTATTAATAAACAAAGATCCCCCGGGTCCTCTCCCGCTTCTCCAGCGGACTGTGCGGCTCTTTCTCCGTTCTCGCTCCTTCTCCGTCTCACCTACGCACGGGGCCGCCCCACTTCCGGCGGATGTACCCTGATAAATGGGAATCTCGCCGCGCGCGCGCAACCGGCCGGTCGTATATACACCTACGACGACTTGCAGCGAGTGAGAAACGATCCCGGCGGCGTCTTCCAGGCATGAAGCACGAGGACGAGGACAGAAGCGAGCGGAAGGAGCCGGAGTATTAAAACGGGAGGCTAAGAGTAGCCGTGCCGTTTGAGATTCCCCTTTGGATGCGTTGTGCGCTAACGATTCTTGCTGCTCCGGCTACCTCCGTTGCGATCTCGGCGATGATCTCGGAGATGAGAATTCTGTTGTAACGCTCGTCGAGGTCACATCTCGTTAACACAACGAGCGCGCGAACCGCGCCTCGATTCGCGCGCACGCATTCACTCGTACGCGGGAACGCATGACAGCACGGGATAAGAAAAGAGGAATGGTGAAGTCCCCTCACTTGAGCCCCGGTTGACTCCGGAACGATAAGTTCCCTGTCTTCTGAGGAGGCAAGAGACACATGGAACCAGAACTATATAAGAGAGAAAGAGAGAGAGGGGGGGGG